AAAAAACTAGCCGGGCGAGGTGGCGGGTGCCTGTAGTCCCAGCTACTCGGGAGGCTGAGGCAGGAGAATGGCGTAAACCTGGGAGGCGGAGCTTGCAGTGAGCTGAGATCTGGCCACTGCACTCCAGCCCGGGCGACAGAGCAAGACTCCGTCTCAAAAACAAAAAAAAAACAAAAAAAAACAAAATGCCAGTCGTGGTGGCGCATGCCTGTAATCCCAGCTACTCAGGAGGCTGAGGCAGGAGAATCACTTGAACCCAGGAGGCAGAGGTTGCGGTGAGCTGAGATCGTGCCATTGCATTCCAACCTGGGCAACAAGAGCGAAATTCCATCTCAAAAAAAAAAAAAAAGAACTATGTTTCTGGATGCATCTGTATGTCTGGGCCAGGATGCATGTGTCTGCACGTGTGCCTCATGTGTTGCTAGAGAGCTTGGCTATGTAGGTGTGCTGGCGTTTCTCAGCAGGTTTTGCTGCAGTTGCCCTGGACACACTCACGTTTTTTCCATTCAGGCCAGGTTTGCCATCCTCGCCTGGCTTTCCCTGTGGGAACAGATCACTCGTCAGATGTCAGGGATCAGGTGAGGGTAGTAAGGGGGAAAATAGGGTAACATGAAAGTCTGGACTCACCGGTAATCCAGGGGGACCAGAGGGGCCAGGGGGGCCCTGTTCTCCACGGAGGCCTGGAAGCCCCTGGAAAAAGTATTTGTTAAGATTTATAGGGCCTCTGAGATATTCCTTGGGGCATACCCCATGGACTAAGAGGACCCCAATAAGATCTCCCTCCAGGGTAGAGACCCCCAAGACTGGGAGGTCCCATTGAGATCCCTCAGGCACAGACCCCATGGATGGGGGCCCCTGCTGATACTCCCAAGGGAAGAACTCCCAGAACTTGGAGGGCCTGTGAAGACTCCCAAGGCAAAGAAAGTCAGAAAGGGGGATTCTACTAAAACCTGTCTGCCAGGGACTGAGACCCCTCCCAAGGACTGAGACCCCTCCCAAAGGCAAGGGTGAACCAACGCCCCCCACTCTCCTGATGCTGTGACTATGATGATTTGGTCGGAGCTTATGCAAACCCCTGAGTTCCCTCTGTCCCAGCATCTCCCCTCACTTACGTCTCTCCCTGGGTCCCCAGCTTTGCCTGCAACACCCTGAGGAGAGACTCAAAGTCAGTTCATCATGGTCATGGGGTCAGGGGCTCTAGTCCCTGTAAGCCTAAGGCCTGCATGGCAACAACGCACCCCACCCAGGCAGGGCTCTGGGAGAAGACACAGACAACATGTCTGGCCCCAGAGCTCGTCAAGGCCAAGACCAACCAATGAGGCTGGGGTCTAGGACCCTCATGTGAAGGGATAGGGGAAGGGGACAACCAGGCAGGACTACCAAGACTCACATTCAGCCCAGGGGGCCCAGAGGCTCCTGGTTTCCCATCCAGTCCGCTCCGGCCATCCAGCCCAGGGGGACCCCGGTCACCCTGTGGAAAATAGAGTGGTAAGAGGCCACCAAGGCCGAGGTGGATCTGATAACCCAGGCTCATGTCCTGAGAAACCTCCACACCCTCTCACCTTTTCTCCTGCTGGGCCTCGGACACCTGGGTCCCCCTGGAGGGAACAGGGTCAGATAAGAGGTGAGGGCAAGATGGGGACTCGGCAGACAGGGCAAAGTGCATCACTCACCTGTGGGCCTGGGGGCCCGCGAAGCCCATCTATGCCCTGAAGATAGGGGAGGAAGAAATCAGAGTGGGCCCTCCCACACCTGCACCCCCAGGACCAGCCATACTCACCCTATCCCCAGGGGCTCCAGGGAGGCCAGGGTCGCCCTTGGGCCCTCGAGGACCCTCTTGTCCGCGGTCCCCAGGCTCTCCCTGTGGCAGAGATAAGCTTGCTGAGGAACAGCCTTGAAGCTAAGCCATGCCCAAGGTAGAACCTGCCGGGAGGGGCACTGGGGTCTTTCTTACCCTCCACCCACAGACCCTAATACCTTCTCTCTTGCTCCAGGTCCTGTGTCTACCTGTGGGGGGAATGGCCCGTGAGAAGAATGGCTCAACAAGGGGAAGAGTGGTTGGCGAGGGGATACAGGGTCTGTGAGGGGCTCCAGGGATTTGTGGAGGTTTCAGAGGGGCAGCTGGGGGAAGTGGGAATTAGCGGAAGGAACGAGGGGACATGACGTGGAGCCAAAGGGGCAAGTGAGGGCAATGACAGAGGACCAGACCCAGTGCAGCCCTTACCAGCCGTCCCGGGAGTCCTGGGGGACCCTGGGAAAGGAAATGATTATAGTCAACAGGAAGCCTCAGGTCCCAGGCCATGGCTCTGGTTTGCTCCAGGCTCAACTCTACCCCCAAGTTCCCTGAAGTACCCCAATGCCAGCCCCCAGCAGGCATGAGTGGCCATCCATGCTTCCCACCTTGACCTCCAGACCCCTCATGTAAAAGCACACTGGCAGCAGTGCCAGGGGACCCTCCATCCTTTCTGAGCCCAGGACACCAGCCCTACTCACCGGCTCCCCACGGTCACCCTTGGATCCAGATGGTCCAGGGCTGCCCTGCAGAAAGGCAGGGGTCAAGACCACTCAAGGTGGGCAGCAGTTTTGGGGAGCTTTGGAAGCACCATGGGGACTCATGGGAATGTTGGTAGGCTTCAGGTGGGCGTGATGCAGGGGTCACAGGAAGTAAAGATTGGGAGGGTTTAGCATTACGGGGTTGGGGGTAGGATCAGGTGTTGGGAATTGACTAGTTGGAGGGTTAAGGTTGGGGTGAGGAGTCATAGATTGGGACTCACATTTTGTCCATCCGCTCCAGGATCTCCCTGGTTTCCCTTCTCACCCACAGGCCCCCGAACTCCAGGTGCCCCCTAAGAAGAGCAGCTGGCCTGAGACAGACCCTCCCAGTATTTTGCAGGTGCCCCTGTGATCCCCTACACTGCCTCAGGCTCCCCATCACTCCAAAATCCACATCAGAGGTTCCTATCACCCCATGCCTCCCTGCAGGGCCTCCCATCACCCCTTAGCCCCCCTCAGCCTTTCCTATCACCTTCATGCCCACCTCCCATCACCCCGTTACTTCTCTCTGCCAAGACTCACCCGAAGGCCACGCTCGCCTGCTTTTCCAGGCAAACCTGGGTCACCCTGGTGATAGAGAGAAAAGTCATACTGCACAGGGGAGTCAGGATCTAACTCACTCAGGGAGAGGGGACAGAGAAGGGCCTGAGCAGCAGCTGGACAGGAGGCAAGGAGTGGATGGATGGTCTGGTGGAGCCCCAGCCCACTGGGATCCTAGTTCAAGGGTAAAGGATCAGAAACCACAGTGGGAAGAAGTCTCACCGGAGGACCCTCGTCACCTTTCTCTCCAACTTCACCCTGTGAAACATGAGTGTCAGCCCTGGTTTCAAGAACCCCATGATGCTGGCAACAGCCCTACTCCTTTACCCGCCGTGACTCCCCCGACTCCAGCCTCTTACATCTCGTCCTCGGGGGCCAACAGGTCCTGGGGGGCCAGGCCTCCCAGGGTCTCCCTTCTCTCCAGGAGGCCCTGAGTCACCCTGTGGAGGAGGCAAGAGGGAGGTGATGCAGGATGCTCAAAGCAGGCAGTCCTCAAGGGGAGGGGATCTCGGAAGCCTTGAGGTTGCCCAGGGTCATGGGTACTCACTGGGGGTCCTGCTCTGCCAGTAAGGCCAATGGGACCCTGAAGGGAATAGAAGGGGGATAGGATTTAGTCAGGGTCCTACCACCTCATCTCCCTCTGTCACACTCCCCATTCCGACATTGATTCACCCGGTCTCCAGGGTCTCCCTTGGGGCCAGGGTCTCCAGGAAGAACCAAGCCAGGTGGGCCCTGTGGATGGAAGGATAAGAAGTCAGGAAGACAACCTCTACCAACCACCCCCTAAACACTTCCCTTCACGGGCCAGGCGCAGTGGCTCACGCCTATAATCCCAGCACTTTGCGAGGCCGAGACGGGCGGATCACGAGGTCAGGAGATCGAGACCACGGTGAAACCCTGTCTCTACAAAAAATACAAAAAATTAGCCGGGCATGCTGGCGGGCGCCTGTAGTCCCAGCTACTTGGGAGGCTGAGGCAGGAGAATCATTTGAACCCAGGAGGCGGAGCTTGCAGTGAGCCGAGATCCCGCCACTGCACTCCAGCCTGGGCAACAGAGCGAGACTCTGTCTCAAAAAAAAAAAAAACAAAAAAAAACACTTCCCTTCACTTACCCGTTCCCCTTGGACTCCAGTAGCTCCTCTGGGCCCAGCAGACCCCACATCTCCCTGGAGGTGACAAAGACCATCAGTGCTAGTCCCAGGCTCCAGTTAACCCCCTGACCTAGCAAGTCCTATGACCCTCAAGTCCCATACATAGGCCCTATGACCTAGACCTCAACTCTGTAGAAACCTCCCCTTGTCCTATACCAGGCTTACCTTTTCTCCTTTGGGTCCAGCAACAGCAGGTCCCTGAAAACAAACAGGACAGATACAGCTTGGCCCTGCCTTGGGGTTGTATGACCAGTCTTCATTGGAATGGAGGTCACATGGAATTCGAAGTCATATAGCTCAGTCCCCACCCAGAGGTCACAGGGTCACCGCTGATAGCAGGGAAGGGGTTATACGAAATGGACTGACACAAAGAGCTCATGACCTGCATGGTGGTCATGGGGTCACAGGATCACAGCCAGGAGTCTGGAGGCAGGTTCTAGCAGGTGAGCCACAGAGCTCTGAGACTGCTCACGGGCCCAGCACTGTGGAATCACAGCCCAGATAGTGTTCTATAGGAGGATCACTGCTCAAGGGCTGTGCTGTGCTCAGAGCCCCATCCTCTCATCACTCACCACCACTGCAGGGTCCCCAGGACGACCAGGCTCCCCCTGTGGAGAGAGGATAGAAGCAGGGACAGGTCAGGGAGTCACCTTGGAGCCCCAAATCCCAGTGTCCCACCTGCCACACCCCTAGTACAGATAGTACCACCCCCAGTCGAGGACCCACCTTCTCTCCTTGGCGGCCGGTGGGTCCTGGTGGCCCCTGAATGTAGAGAAAGTGGGAGTCCAGGAGGGGAAAGGAAAGGGGAGGGACACACAAAAGTCCCACTGGTGGTCCCACCACAGTCACAGACTCACTTCAGGACCCTCTGCTCCAGGACGTCCAGCAACCCCTGGCAGCCCCTGGAGGAGAGGAAGGGAGGAGCTGTGCAGGTGGGTGGGGATGGGGGATATGGGCAGGGCTAGAGGCTGGGGTGGGGGCTGGAGAGGGGTCAGAGAAGATTGGGATTTAGGTTGGCAGGGGTAGACTTGGCAGGAGGACAGAGACCAGGTCAGTGAAAGTCAAGGTCAGTTCAGCAGGGTCAGATATTTAAAGCCAGGTCCCTGGGGCTGATGGTTAGAGCCTGTATCAGCAGGGATAAGGGGTCATTGAGGAGGGGTGAGGAGCAGGGGCAGCGGGGGTTAAGGGCAAAAAGCCAAAACCAGAAAGGGCACAGCCAGGTCAGCTGGTATGAGCATTGCAGCCAGTGGGCTTACCCGGGATCCCGCTGGGCCTGGGGGTCCGCGTTCGCCCTGATGGAACAGAAGAGGTCAGAGCTGAGTTGGGCCAGATCCTCTAGGGCCCTTGGAGCCCCCCAGGTTGCACTTACCTTCTCTCCAGCCTCACCCGGGGGCCCTGGAAAGCCCCGGTCACCCTGAAGACAGAGGGTGAGAGAACGACAGAGAGAGAGGGTTGGTGGCGGGCTTGAATGTCAAACCCCAGACCAGGGGTCTCAAACTCCAACCACTCCCTCCAAAACCACAACCTCTGACCTGGAGGGAACTGTTATCTCCTGATCTTCCAGCCTCCCCTAACACCACAGGGAGCCCGGAGTAGCACCCCTCACACCTCAGTCCCCCAACTGGTACTCACTTTGGGGCCAATAGCTCCAGGAGGTCCCCGTGGGCCCTGGAAGGGATTAATTTGGGGGTTCAGAGATTTGCGTTTGGGCATGAGGATGGAGCAGTGGTTGATGATTGAGGTGGGGGCTGGAGCTGTGCCCACCACAGTCAGAACCCCTGGCCCCTCCACTCACTTGCTCACCCGGAGACCCAGGTTGTCCTGGGAGGCCTGGAGCTCCATCCTCAGAGTCACCCTGAAGGAAAAACGCATGGGTGGGAAGACCGAAGGGAGGCCCTGCCCCTAGCACCCAGCCTCCCACCCCAGAACTGGGATATCATCAAGTCAGGCTTCCTACTTTTTCTCCTTTCTCTCCAGGGGGGCCAACGGGGCCTTGGGGTCCAGGGCTTCCGGGAAGACCCTAGGAGGAAGTGAGTAAAAATGTGAGCGAAGAACTATGAAGCCCAGCACCCAACCACTGCCCCAGGAGAGACCCACAGCCCTGAGCAGGGCCCCCAGCAGAGCCTCAAGGCCCACTCACCGGCAGCCCGGGCTCCCCGGGAGCAATGCCACCTTCACCTGGTCCAGGGGGACCCTGGGAGAGAACAGCAGGTCACGGAATGAACAGGGGAATCAGACTCCAAGCCACCCCCAGCACAACCTGTCCCTCACTTACCCGCTCCCCACGATCACCTTTGTCACCCTAGAAAACAGATGATGATCCCATGACCCTGGGCCACACCTCACTCCCAAAGATACTAGGAGGGATGAGGGTCATGGGGTCCAATTGGATTACAAGGATCTTGGGAGAACTGAGGCATCATGGTGAGGATGGGGGTGATCAGAGGGTCACAAGAGCCAGAGGAACTGGTAGGGGTTATGTGGGTTCAAATGGGGTCACCAGGTCTCTGCATCACATGGCACTCATGAGGTTGTCACCTTCATGGCTGTTCCAGGAAGCCCTGGGGGGCCACGGGGTCCTGGGTCCCCCAGTGGTCCACGAGGTCCAGGGGGGCCCTGATGGAGGAGACAAAGTATAAGGTGCAACCCCACAGACCCTCCTCTCACCCCCGCTTGTCAGTCCCCCCACTACCCATCACTCGCCACCACATACCCTGGACTTACCGATGGTCCAGGGTCCCCTTTCCGCCCAGGAAGCCCAGGTCCTTCGCCTCCAGTGACTTGTCCAGGAGCCCCCTGTAGGGACAGAGAGCAGTGGGCAGGATTCAGGATATGGGGGCCTTGAGCTGGAATAAGCCCCTAGACACGTCCAGCTATTCCTATTCACGCCTTAGGCCCTGCACAGGGTCTGGCGTGGGGCAGTCCTGCTCCTCCCTGGGACATCCCGGCTGCCTCCCTTCCCCCTTCACCTACCGGCTCCCCCTTTGGGCCTCGAGGTCCTTGCTCTCCCTGAGGACCAAACAGAGCAGAGGGTGGTGCTTGGGCTCAGGCGAGTGTCAGTGTGGGCACTGACCCACCACCCCAGGCTCCCGCCCTGTGGAAAAGCCCTGGGAAGACACTTGGAGAGCAAAGAAGGGAGGGCGCCTTACCGGTTCCCCACGAGGGCCAGGCAACCCTGGAGAGCCCTGCAAATGGAGGCCAGAGGCAGAACAGTCGGAGCCACCCACCCACTCAGGCAGCGCCCACCCTGACCCACAGGGCAAGGCTTGCTCACCTTTAGGCCAGGGGCTCCAGGGGTCCCAGGAGTCCCGGGGCGGCCAGGGCTGCCTGGACGCCCATCTGCTCCAGGGAAGCCCTGAGGAGGTGAAGAGGTCAGGGCAGGAAGGGACCCTCCCCCAAGGCCCCTGGTTTGCTGGAGGGGCCTTACCCCATCAACAAGGGGTCCCCTACCTCACTGGCCCCCAGGTATTATTGGGGGTGGAGCAGTGAGGCAGAGAAGTGGCCCCTCAGAGCTGCATGGAGTCCAATTCCAGGCACAAGGGCAGTGACAAGGCAGAGGGCTTCCCTGCCTCTGGGACTTAGAGCTGCTGCTCAGGCTCTGCAGAGGGGCTAGAAGCCCCACTGGCCCTTCTACTTCAGAGTGTCCCCTAAAGTCTCTATGGTGGTTTATAACCTCCAGCTGGGCTTCTAGGAATTTCCGATGATTCTAACTCTGCTTATTCCTTCTCTCTTGTAAAAACCCAGAGAAAGCTTTGAGGAGTACCTCAGAGAAACCTCGATGGTCCCCACACTCACCCTTTCGCCCTTAGCAATGGCACTTCCAGGGGGCCCCTGGGGGCCAGGAGCACCAGTCCTGCCCTGAGAGAAGAGAGCAGGTTAGGTGGTGATAAGCCAGTCAGGGTGCAGGGACAGATGTGGGGGGCACTCACCGGGAGGCCAGGGTCGCCAGGAGGCCCAACTTGTCCTCTCAGGCCCTAGGAAGGGTGATCAGTGAGACCTGTGCTGCCAACCTCCCCTGCCCCACTGACACCCAACCCACTCTCTATTCCCCGCCCCGCATGGGCACTCACCATTTCTCCAGGTTCCCCCTTCTGGCCCTGGGGAAAGACATGTCAGATGTGGGTCAGAGTGGCTAGCCCCAGGTGCAGCTTCTGCCCACCTCTCGTCGCAGGACTCTTACCTTTGGACAATATACTGGGCAGGGTTCTGGCCGGGGCTGTGGACATAGGGTCTCTTTGAGGTTGAACATTTCTACCAAGAACCCCCAGATCCCTTATTTTCTACCACCCAGTCCCCCAGAGGCCTCTTCCAAACCTGAGTAGTGAAGGATGCCTGACACAGGGCTGCGGCCAGACCACTGACTGCCTGGTCCAGGCTTGGCCCATCATCCACGGCGAAAAAGGTCTGGACAGAGTCCATGCCCGGCACCAAGCGACGCAGCTGCTCTGGGTCCGCTCCAGCCATTCCCAACATCACCACTTTAAGCCCTAAGGTGGGGTCCAGTGGCTGCTTGATAGCCCTGTCAGGGCCATCCCTATTCCCAGACCCCTTCCCCATCAGCCTACTCCTTACCAGCAGCCTGGGCCTCACGGATGGGGCTGAATATGTCACCTCTCAAGGGTTCATCCACTAGCAAAACCATCACCCCTGGCACGTGCTGGCGGCGCCCAGGAGCATCTGGTGCCAACACGTATCTGTGAGCTGTGACCACGGCTGTGCCTGGAAGGAAGGACATGTCAGAACCCTGGGGCACCAAGTTCCCAGTGGATAGCCCCAAGAGTCCATGCCTGCTGCAGTCCTCACCCAGGTTGTTGCCACTTGGGTCCATGTAGGGCATGTCACGGATCCTTTGCAAGATAATGCCAAGGTCATAGGAGCCATTCAGGGGGAACAGTGGGGAGGGCCGGTGACTGTAAGACAGCAGGCCAACCTGGGTGGAGGGAGACACAGAGCCTGAGGAGGATGATAGAGCAGGGATGGGGGTGCACAGAGCCTGGAGAAACACATCAGGCTGTGTGTGACCAAAGCCTGACTATCTATTAGGGAGTCAGCAGTGACGGCAGGATAGGAAGCCAGGCAGCAGGTGAGATCTGGAGCCTGTGGGAGAGCTGGGAGAATGACTGAACCTGTTGGGTGGTCAGGAGATGGTAATTGGCATGGAACCTGGGTGGGGGGCCACAGGGAGAGGTAGGAATCTGGTTGCCCCAGGACCAAACCTGAACCGCCTGTGGCCCAAGAGGCCCAAGTGCCAACACCAGACGCTCCAGGACCCGCCTCGTAGCCTCCGCACGGTGAGCATTGTCTTGAGTGGCATGTGGTAGGAACACCACATCCACCAGGCCACGGGGACACACTGCAGGAAGGGGAATAAGTTACTGAAGCGAGCAGCCCACCCAGACACACCTTTCTGCCCTTCCCACTATGCCCGCCATACCTGGCGCCTGTGTGATGGATGCCTCAGGACCCTGCACGCCATCCAGGACAGGCGTCAGGGAGAATATGTAAGAGACGCCAGGCTCTAGCCCTGTCACCCGCTGGGAGCTTGAGATCCCTGGAAGAGTCTGCGGGGCCCCAGGCACTTATGCAGGAGAGAGAACTTGCTTAAAAATCAGTCTCCACAGAACCCCAACTGCCAGCCCACCCCAACCCTGGCCTCCCCCTCACCCTGGCCAGGGCCTCTGAGTGGCCGCCAGGATAGGATGTAGCTGGATGCCCTGGACACTGGGGTCCAGGCCAAAGTCACCGAGTCGATCGAGGTGTCCACCACACGTAGTTCAGTGCTTGGAACACGAGGTGACTCTGAAGGAGGAATGAAAGATCGAGGATCAGAGGTTGAGTCCTGAGAACCCAGAGGGGAGAGAGGTCTGAGATCCTGGGTCGGGTTTGTCTTATTGAAGCGTCATGAGAGGTCATGCTGGGGTCACCCAGGGTCAGAGGGTGAGGGGTGGGGGTACAGGAGGAGTCACTCAGAGTCGGGGTGCAGGAAGCCAGGGTGGGTCATCAGTAGGGGAGGAGCACGCCAAGGTGAGGCAGGCTTACCAGTGCGCACAGTCACGTCTGCAGAGGGCCCTTCTCCAGCCGGCCCGAGGACACTCAGCCTCACGCGGTACTGTGTGGCTGGCTCCAGCCCGTCCAGGTGATAGCTGTTGAGCTCGGGGCCCAGGACCCGGGACTGTTCTTGGCCACCTGGGGCAGGCGTGAGGGTGGGGGCCAAGAGCATGTGGGAGAGTGACACCTGGGGGCATTAAAGGGCCCGCCCACCTCACTGGCTCTGTTAACTGGGTCCACCCTCCTGACTTCCTCATCCTCACTGACTCTGCCCACTTTATGGACCTTGCCAGACTGACCCTCCATGAACTCATTGATCCCACCCACTTCATTGACTGATCTTACCTACTGTCACTGATCTCGCAGACCCCAAATGACAGACCCCACTCACTGTCACTGTCCTCACCTACCTTGCAGCATCTGCCACAGCCTTGCCCCCATTGGTTCCTAACCTCCTCCCAGGGACACCCCTCACCCTCTGGTTGCCAGCGCAGAAGGAAGCCCTGCACTCCGGGCACCGGCTCCCAGCGCAGCCTCAGCGAGTGCTCCCCGCGCTGCACCACTTGAAGCGTCCCCAGGGCTGGCGGAGCCTCAGGCGCTGGAGAGAAAGCTCAGGAATCAGGGAGGCTCTGCCCCAATGGCCCCTGTGCCAATCCCAGGCCCACCCTGGCACACGCACCCCACCCAGCCAGCCCCTCTGCCTATCCGGGGCTTCACCTTCTCTCCTCTCAGACCCCGCCCCCAAAGGCTCACTACCAATCCTGGTCCTTTCTCCAATCTGGAGCACAAGCCCCGATCCCCAAACCATCCACACCACCCATCCCGAGGCTCTCCAGCTCATGCTCTGCCTACGTGTGGTGACGACAATGGAGACAGGTGTGCCCTCGCGGTCCCCGACAAGTGCAGTCACTCGAACTGAGTAGCTGACTCCACCTTCGAGACCCCGGATCTCTGCAGAGTCTGTGTTTCCTGGGAGTATCTGGTGTCTCATGGGGCCACCTGGCCAGGTGGGCATAGAGCAATGGTTAGGGGTGGGCAGTCCCAGCCAGGAAGGATAGGGGTGGCATCAGGGAGCCATACCTTCACTCCGGCCCCAGGCCAGTCTGTAAGCTGTGGCCCCAGTGACCCCTACCCAGGTGATCCGCAGAACGTCGCTGGAAGCATTGAGGATTTGCAGCCTTGACACACGGCCCACAGGCTCAGGGGCTGGGGACAGAGGCAAGGTAAGGGGGTCTGGCAGAGAACAGAGTGGTAGTGCAAGCATGGTTGACACGGGGGTAATCTGAAAGTCAGTGTGAGGTTAGTATGGACAGGTCACTGTAGACAGCCCTGAGAGGGAGGAGGTCAGTGCCTTGGGGTGGGCAGTGTGGGGCCACCAGGAGGTCACCATGGGTGGACACTTAATCAGTGCGGGGTGGGTCAGTGTGGATAGGACAGTCACTGAGCAGGGGCGTGGAGGCAGCTGGGCAATCAGGAATACTCAGCAGGGCAGGGTAGCTAATTCGGTGTGGCTAGCAGCTGGTCAGGGTCCACTCACCAGTTCTGACAACCACAGAGGCAGGGGGCCCATCCACACCAGCCACATGGGCCCTTACATGCACCGTATACTCAGTATCTGGCTCCAGCCCATCCAGCTCAGCCACCGTGGCCTCCCCAGAAACCAACTGGGATTTCTCTGGGCCTAGGAGCAGGGATGGAGGCAACTCCAGGGCTAGTCAAACTCTGTCCCCCAGAGCCCCACCTGGACCCCCAATAAACCCCAAGCCCCCATTCCACCCTGACCTGCCCCCTCCCAAACCCCAGTCCCCACCGTGGGCTGAGTGCCAGGAAACCCTGTATCCTGTGGCGCCAGGAACCCTGGTCCAGGTAATGGTGACAGATGAGCTGCTGGCCTGAGTCACATGGACTGTCCTCACTGGGCCCAGTGGGTCTAGTGGGGAGAGGTAATGGGGAGTCTGTTGGAGCAGGCAGGAAGGAGTGGGGCTATCTGATACTGATAGTGGAAGGCGATGAGAGTCTAACAGAAGACAGGAATCTGATAGAGGAGATGGTGAATAGGTCCAGTGGAGAAGTGGGGAGATGGAGGTTTTAGGAGGCAGTGAGGGGGTCTGATGGAGGAGAAAGTGTAAATCTCAGAGAAGATTTGGGTCCAGCAAAAAAGGGGTGGGGGTCTGAGGGCTGAGGTGGTGGAAATTTGAGGGCAAAGACTGTGGGAGTCTTAGGGGAGAAGCAGGGGAATCTGAAGATGGGAAGGGCTTAAGGGGAGACAGCTGAAACTGAAGGGGAAGCAGAGTCTCTGAGGGAGGAGGGAGTAGGAATCTGAAGGGGGAGGCAGGAGTTCTGGGGAGTAGCAAGGGTCTGCAAGGGGAGGCATGGGGGTCTGAAAGAGCAATGGAGGCAGAGAGTCAAGGGACGGGGGCAGGCCCTGACCTGTTCGAGCCACGATGACCGCAGCAGGGCCCTCCTCTCTCCCTCGCAGTACAGACACAGCCACCTGGTAGGTGGTTCCAGGCTGCAGCCCTGTGATGTCTGTGACAGTAGAGTCTGGGGGCAGTGTCTGGCTGGACTCTGGACCTGAGGTCAGAGGGAAATGCTGGCATGGCTCCTGCCTGTCCCCTCCGGCCCCCATACCCTCATTGGTCCCTTCAGCAGTCCCCCCACACACCCCACACTGACCACTGCCTGTGCTCCAGCTAATCCGAAATCCACTGGCTCGAGGGACGGGTCCCCAGGCCACCCTCACTCTCGTAGCATCTGACACCACAACCCGCAGCCCTGGAACAGCAAGTGGGGTTTCCGGCTCTAGGGGTTAAACACAGAGGTCAGAGGTCAGAACCAGGACCAGAGTGAGGCAGACAGCTGTCCTCCACAAGCTTCCTGTAGTGCTCACCCCGGCGGACAGTGAGGACACTGGCACTGCCCTCACGGGGACCCACTCGAGCAGACACCCGCACAGTGTAGCTAAGCCCAGCCTGAACGTCATCCAAGTCGAACGCTGTCTGACTCCCGGGAAGCATCAGGATCCGCTCAACCCCTAAGAGAGAAGTCAGCGTAGGTGGGCAGGGGTCAAAAAGAGACAGGGACGTGGGATGACGGCAGAGACAGGGACGTGGGATGACGGCAGTGATGGACAGGGACACACAGCGAGAAGGGCCATGGAGGTGGGGATGTGGGGTGGTGGGGACCAGAGAGATGGGATATGGCTGAAAAAAGTGAATGCAAGACAAGGACATAGGATGAAAGGGGCCAGTGATGGCAGGGACACTGGAGGACAGGGGTCCGTGGGATGCTGGCATGTAGGATGACAGGAGCCAGTGGACTGCAGTGAGAACTGATGAGCTGTTGACAGACACTGACGTGGGATGGCAGAAGTCGGTGCTGGATGGGGACATGCAATGAGAGGTTGGTGTACAGTGGTCACCACTAGGGTCACAGAAAGGCAGGTGATTGAGTTTGTGGCTGTGCAGAGTCGCAAGCCATGGACAGGGGTGTGGGGCAGGGAGGAGATTGGCTGGGGCAGGGTAGGGGCGGACACACCCTGTGACTTCAGGGCTCAGTGCCATCCTGGGAAGCATATGGATAAGGAGATGGAGGAGACTATAGGGACCCAGGTGTGGAAGGAGAGGGCTGGAGGTACACTCAGACCCCTCAGGCTGGAACTTCAGTGTGTGTGGTGGGGGTGCTGGCTGTGTCCACCTTACCCTGGGTGCTGCGCACAATGATGCGGTACTGGGTGGCACCGGGGACTGGGCTCCAGGACACTCGCACCCGCTGCCCGGGCAGCTCTGTGGCTTGCAGGTCCATCACAGGGCCCACAGGCAGCTCTGGTCCTGTTGGAGAGCACAGCATAGAGGCAGCCTGGGGCTCCGACACCTCCCCCACTCACTGGCCCAGCCCACAAAGCCCTCACCAGTGGGAACCACGGTTGCAGGGGTGGCCACCTCGTGGCCCTCCAGCAGAGTGTAGAGTGTGAGGCGGTACTCTGTGCCCGGCTGCAGCCCATCCAACTGGTAGCGGGTCACATCAGAGGGCAGCACTACCTTCTGTGGTGGCTCCAAGCCTGCAAGATGACAGGGTCAGGCCAGCTGACGCCATGCCCTGACCCTTGCCTGTCCATCCCTTCCCCGACACTGACCAGTCTCACGCCGCCATTCCAACCGGTAGCCACGGGCCTCAGGCACCAAGTTCCAGGAAAGGAGGATGGATGTGGGGCCCAGGATGACCGGGCGCAGGGTCTGCTCAACAGAAGCGTCTGCCCAGGGCACATGGGATGTCAGTGGCCTCCGGTCCTTGCCCTGCCTGCCCGTCCCAGCCTGATGAAAGTGCCCAGCCTTCTCACCAGTGCGAGCCGTCAGGGAAGCGGCAGGCCCCACACTGTGGCCAAACAGGGTGCTCATGGTCACCTCATAGTCTGTGCCAGGCTCCAAGTCGCGCAGCAACACTGAACCTTGCCCAGGGCCCAGCTCCTGCTGCTGTGTGGGCCCACCTGCATGGGGGGCACCAAGAGGCCAGTGGGCCTTGCAGACACAGGACTCTACAGTTTTGTCTGAGGTGCAGGGACTCCCCTTAGCCCACATCTATCACTCACCACTGAGGACCCGCCATGTCACACGGTAGCCAGTGGCACCTGACACACTCCGCCAGGCCACCAGGAGGCTGTGGGCTGTGGTATTCTGGATGGTCAGTTCCGGCCCCTCCAGGGCAGCTGGGGGAGAGTCCCACCAGGGATTCATGGAGTCAGGAGTGGGAGGGGGTACTGGGGTGGGGAGTTAGGTGAATGGGGTCAGAGGCTGGCAGAATTGCTCACTGGTCCGAGCTGTCCCGCTCACCGCCTCCCCGATGCTGTTGGCGTAGAGGGCAACCACAGTCACTTGGTACTCAGTCAGTGGCCGGAGACCCTGCAGCCACACGCTGGTCTCACCAGCTGGGATGTTCACCTGCCCAGGGCCAGAGGTCACTTTATCTTGCCCAGCCAAGTCCCCAGCCACCACTTATCACTCCTGACATCCTACCTCCTGCCGCTCGCTCGGCAGTGGCTGTCCCAGCCCCGTCAAAGGAGTATACTGGACCTTGTAGCCAGTCACAGGGCCACTGGCCGCTGTCCACTGTACTCTCAAGGATTGGCTGCTTGGCTCAGACAGCACCAGGTCTCGTGGAGCAGAGGTTGAGTCATCCGCTGGGAATGGGGGATCAGGGGATCAGGCAGGAGGATTGGGGTGGGCATGTATGGTGCAGAGTTGGGGTTAGGGTCAGGAGCACATAGGATGGAATCAGCATTCCCAAGTGGGGGTTGGGGTCCAGGGTCTAGGTCGGGGCACACCATGTAGGCAGGAACTCACGAGGCCGGGTCACAGGCACGCCACCAGCAGTTGTGCACACTCTCCGGGAAACGAGGGGGAGTAGTGTCCTCAAGATGCTGAAGTCATTGACGAAGAAGAAGAAGTCACTGGTGGGCTGTGAGGCAACTCGCTTCAGCTCCTCAGGGTCGGCATTCTTGATCCCTGAAGTGACAACCAGTCAGGACTCAGTCACCCACATGCTCTCTGACCGCTCCCACTCCCCAGCTGACCTGTCATCCCTGCTCGGTCCTTACCCACAGCAAACAGCTTGACCCCCTGACCCTTCAGCTTTTGGGCAGCTGTGTCCACCAGGTCCTGGGACTTCCCATCTGTGATCAGGATGCAGACCTGGGACAGGTGCAGGGGTCAAATCATGGCTCCCCTGAACACTTCATTTGGGGTCATCTTGGGAGGCATGGAAGGGGTAAGGATCACCTTGGGGACACCAGGTCGGGCCAGCTGGGGCAGGAAGACACGGTCAGCCACATGGAGAATTGCAGCCCCTGTGCGAGTGTTGCCCCCTTTGTAGCTGAGCTCACGGATGGCGCGGATCACATCACCCCCAGAGCCAAGTGCATCCAGGCTGAACTCTGTCCTGTTGGAGGGTAGGGGTGGCAACAGGCTAGGACTCAGGATCTCTTCTGGCCCTGGCCTTGAGGAGGCCTCTAGGGTGAGGGTTATGGGTATCAGGCTCTCTTGAGAGGTTCCTTCATTCTGTGATTCTCCACATCCACTTTCCTCTGGAACCCCCAGGTTAACAAACTCCCCAGGGGCTCCTTTGTGCACCATCTGCAGCTGGGCCTGGGCAGGCCTGAAGGAGCCCTTAGGGGCTCACAGTCTGTGGGAAACAAGATGCTGCTTAATTAAATAATTGCAAGAGGAGGGGTCCAGATGTAGGAAAGTGGATGCTGGCCAGATGGAGCACCTCTAGTGAACGGCTGCAGGGGTTAAGGGGCTAGAACATGAAGAGTCCAACAGGCATGGGGGCCCCCTCCTGGGCTCCCCATCTCCAGCTCAGGAAACACAGCCTGTCTTGCACCTTCCTGTCTTGCAATAGCCTGGAGGTGCTTCAGGGCATGAAGATTCTACCTAGGGAATCCTTACCTCTGTCTCCAGAGGAGGTCCTGGCTAGGGGGTCTCTAGGTTCCCCAAAACTTGTTTCCGGAAAGACCCGGTCTGAGGTTTCCGGGGTCTCCTCCCTTCCTGGGGAAGGGGTCTTGGTGGGATCCCGTGGTCCCCAGCCCCCAGGGCCGCTACTCACCGTGGGTCATCACTGTACTGCACTGTGGCAAAGCGCACACCCTGTGCACTGGCTGCTCCAGAGAAAGGCAGCACCAGCCCTTCGAGAAAGCTGCGGACCTCGCGGAAATTGCTGCGGCCAATGGATGAGGAGCCATCCAGTAAGAACACAATGTCAGCGGCGTAAAGGCGCGTGCAGGTCACTGGGGCGGGCAGAAGAGATCAGGGCCTCTTCTGGGAGGCCAACCACCCGCCTCCCCGCACGGTGGCCTTGCTGGGACTCGGGATGGTGGGGAGAGTAGGCCTCATCTTATGCAAACCAGGGCTGAGTCGGCCTGAGCCTGGGGGCCTTGGAGGGAGTCGAGCTGGGTGGGTCCCAGAGCAGACTCCCGCGGGGGGTTGGGGTGTGCGGGGGAGGGAGAGTCGCCAGCACGGGTGTGGACTAAGGGACTGAGGTCAGCCTCTAGGGGCCGGCGCGGATTGACATAAGGCAGGGGACCCCGCGTGCATCCAGGGAGCCAGAATTTGAGTCGGAACAGGATAGGAGGCAGTTTAGGGAACCCAGCACCGACCGCGGAGGGTTCGGGGAGTCCCAGAATTGGGAGGAATCCTCGGGGAGTCGCGGAGTTGGCTGGGTTGTGGGCGGGGGGGTGTCGGGGATGAAAGCCGAGTGGAGCGGAGGGTGACACGGTGCAGTGCCCCAGGCCGGGTCCTCCCTTGCGGTACCCCGGGCCGGGTCCTCCCTTGCGGTGCCCACCTCTCTCCCTGTGCTGGGCTCGCACTCGGGGCGCCCCTGCCAGGATCCCGGCGCAGAGCGCGGCCACCAGAAGCCGCAGCCTCATCCTAGTCGGTAGAAGCAGTCAGCTAGGACCCCCGCCTCTGCCCCTTGCTCCCCTGCGGTCTTGGCGGGTCCGAGCCCAGCGCCCCTCCAGCCTGAGTCCTGGTCTTGCCTGCGCGTCCGCCCGCTCCCGCCGCCGCCGCTGCAGTCCCGCGGGCAGAGCAGAGAAAAGTCCCTGATCTCGGGGGGCGGAGCGGCAGGCGGGGACCCAGGCACCCGCCCTCACCCACATCCCTGAGAGGTCGCCGCCCCCACCACCCCTCCCCCAGACAAACGATATGACGCACTTAACTATAAACCCACCGACCCCCCTTGGCTTCTGGGAATTTCCCAGAAGGTTCTCCATGGACAGATGCTGAGGGAGTACCCCTAACTCCATCTAAGGTCACAGGTCTTGGCTGCTTTAGGTCAATCACAGTGACCAGGCTGAGGAGTGGACAGGTTCCTGCAGGGCCACAAGGCAGCAGCGCCGTGGGGGGTGGGGGCTGCAGCTGAGGATGACTCACCCCCAATCCGGTGGGGGTGCCCAGACAAGCCCTCAGGCCATGGGTCCCGCCGGCCACTCCTGTGATTCAGCCATCTGTCTGGTGGGCCTCCTGGGCCCCACCCCAATCTCCTTGACAGGAGAGAAGCCCTGGCAAATGAGTGACTCTGGGCCTGTCTTAGGGAAACCAAGGTCCCCTTGGCCTAGATCCAAGTAACTCACCCTGTCTTTGTAGGGGATAAGCCAGAAGGAGGAGAGAACCTGTGTCATGCTTATGCATACGTCCCAGTGTCCCACACCCTCTACCATGTCCCAGGCAGATGCAATCCAGCTGTGCCTGAAGGGAGGGGGCCGCCCATCTGTGGAGAGCGGGACCACCCACAGTGACAGCTCATCTCTCAGGAATCCAGCCCTCCATGCCCCAGGCCAGGTCCCCCTACCTACGTGTCCTCACCCATAGGCATCCCCTCCTTCCATCTACTTTTCTTGCAGGTCCCTGCCACCCATCTCCCCCACCAGGCCGAGGTCTCCTTGGGCCCCTTCCTCCTTTCCTCATTGCCCTCATGGTACCTGTAGCTTCTGGCTTCATAACTGCCTGCTACCTTACTCCTCTCCCCTTACCCAGGCTGACTTCCCACCCTCCCCGAGCTGGGCTTCTGAGGCTGTGGACAGTCCAACACACCAGACCAGGGCCACTGTCCCAAGGAGGTGGGACTTTGTATATGCGTATATGCGTAGATGGGTGACACTAAGGCAGAGAGGCACCCCTAAGAAGGGCAGGCCTCCATCTGGGTCCTGCTCCCCCTTTTTTTCCTGCTAATCCTGAATAACTCTGGGCAGCCCAGAAAGCACATCTATACTCACCAAGGCCACTGGGCCCCTTCTAATATGCCCAGCCCCACAGCCTGAGGACTCTGGTGTGGCCAGAGCTGGAGGCAGTGAAGACCATCCATGCTGCCTGCTTTCCTATTGCCCAAGGAAGGCTGGGGCTATTCCTTATTACTGACCCCCGAAACTATCCTGGGGCACAGTGCTGTGACCCCATGGGGCCTAGAACCTTATTCCCAGGTCAGGGTCTCCTCAACCATGTCCCAGGACCCCCCATCCCTGCAAGGTGTGCTCCAGGTGAGGGCTGCAGAGAACCACATATGTTCTCATCACACGAGCAGCCCCTTCCCCCTAAGACTGTCACTTCCTCCTGCACAGCCAGGGTGGGCAAGAGCAGGCCAGTGGCACAGACAGTACAGTACAGACATATGTGCACACGTGGGCCAGCCTTAGGGGAGACAGGAGGCCCAGCTGGGAGGGTGGGTGCTCAGGCAAACCTCATCAGAATTGAGCAACTCCCAAAAGAAAGGACAGGTTGCTATGAGAGATTCTCTCAAAGGGTGCTGGGAGAGGCTGTTGGGAAGGTAGGAGTAAGGTTGGAATGACTACATGTCTGGAGCTCCTATGAGGCTTATGAGCAGGAGTGTGGCCCTCTGAGGCCCCAGCTCTGGCCTCCTGGGAGGCACACAGCCTAGGGCACAGCCCCAGAGGCCAGTACCTATCTGCAATCCCATCAGGGCAGTGGAGCCCCCAGAGCACATCTTTCTCCCTCCCAAGCTTCCCTGAACATTTCCTTCCCTGGCCTCAGTCACTACCTCTCCCAATCTGTTTCCAACCAGGGCCTCTTTATCAGGTCCCAGCCCCACACATCCCACTGTGCCCTGGACACCACCAAACTCCTCACTGGACTATGGAAGATTACCCTCCTCCAATCCACTCCTGCCCCTGAGTCTCCCAGCCCTGCTGGGAATGTAGTCCTCTTTGTGTCCCCTGCAGCTGGCTCCAGCTCTTGTGTGGCCATGACCTCTGCTCTGCCACAGCACAGCTCACCAGGACTGATACAGAAATGTGGCCCGAGAGTCCCCATGCTGAATCTCAATGCTGACCAAGTCACTTCTCTTCATGGTAACCTCCACACACCTCCCCAGCATGGCTCCAGGGTAAAGACCAGAGTCCCTGGCTTGGTATGCACGGTCCCTTAGAACCAGACCACTCCCAGCAGCTCAAGCTCTCGTGACCACCACACCTGTAGTCTCTAAGGGCCAGGCTGGGCTTACAAATGAAGCCCCATCCTCCAGGAGCTCAAACTTGGCAACAGACTTGGCACTTGTTCCCCTGCCTGGGTGTTGCATCTCCACGAGCACCCAGGGTTGGGCCTGTCAGGGTTCTGTGCTGCCCAGCATCTTCTCTCCAGCGGTTCACAAAGTAGAATATCTGTGCAATGCCCTGGTCCCGGACCATAGAAGGTGCTTAACAAATGTCTCCGAATTGACAACTTATGGCACCCAATGGTGAGGGAAAGGCACTGGGGCAGGGTGAGAACGATACAAGGGTTCCTTGGACTACTTCCAAGCTAGGATGCCGGGGGGACTTCTGAACAGCCCTCTTCTAAACGACCTTGTCCCAGCACCCTGCTTGTGATTGCCAGGCAGTGACTTCCTCAAAGGAAAACTGGGCCCCTCACTCTCAACTTCCCCCTGGGATCCCAGAGAACCTGATTGTGGAAGCACTGGGGGGTGAAGGAGGAACAGCCTACCTGCCCACCCACCATGGGGACCAGAATCCAAAGAGATAACAGAGGGACTAAATAGCTAAGAGCTGTACCGGGTCCTGGCAGCCTCAGGAAAATGGGGAGGGGATTGTCAGGGCAGCAGCTCTGGACTTGCCTGGGACAGATGTAGTTGAAGGAGGGGGCTTGGGCCCCACTGAGCTCAGGGCTATTCTTGGAGCCTGAGTCAGCGGAGGCAAAGGATTCTTGCCCTGCTTGTCCAGGCAGCAGTTAGAAACCAAATGGGAACACTATGCCCCAGGCTATCTTCCTCCCAGAATCCAGAGTAAACACACGCAAGAGGCATCCTTGGAGACACCCCTTGGCCCCTCTGGTCCACCCCAGCAAACTAGGGACCACCAGGGGGTGACGTGGCACAAGGTCCACAGTGAGGGGTTTCCCACCTGAGCCCCCAGGGATTCCAGGCTGGGACTCCTACAGGGGCAAAGGCTGGGTTTACACTTCCTATGGACTCCCATAGCCCACTCTTGGGACCGGCTGGCTGAGGAACATCCCCTAAGTGGCTGAGTGGAAACATCTGGGCTCAGCTCCCTGCAGGCATCAAAGACTTCCGGCCTCTGCTGCAGCCCCCATGCTTGCCCCTGGCTGAGGACACATCAGCCTGTGGGAAGGCAGGAGGATCCAGGAGCTGCAGAACTAGAGGGAAGTCCTTGCTCCCCATCTACTGCCCCATGGACTCCATGCCAATGTCAAAAGAGGGACGACACATTTCTCAGCAGAAGATTTTATTGGTGGTCACCTGCGGCACAGGTTAGAGGAGCCGGAGTGCTGTGTTTGTGGTGGGGGGACCATGAGCCCCGGCCCAGCTCTCTTGTTTACACAGGCTTCCTGCCTAGAAGCGCAGCCAGAACATGCCGCTACGGATCCGGTTGTAGTCTGGGAGCTGCTCAATGGGGCCTGTGGGGATAGGGTGGAGCGTCAGGGTGGGGTACCTGGCCTGCACAGGGACACCTGGCCCTGTGCCGCACCCAGTTCGGAGCTGCTGCCTAGAGCAGCACAAGACAGGCTTTGAGTGGAAAGAGGGAAGAGAACATTCCCCCAGGGGTGCTGAGCCTGTCCCTTCATGTTCTGGCCCTTGAAGCCCCACCCCACATGGAGGTGCCCGTTACCTGATGGGTGCAGGGTATTGATGGAGGCACCCTGGCAGGCAGTCAAGGAACTGCCGGGACAGGTTTTCTGAGCAAGAACTCCCTGGCAGCCAGGGGACTTGGGAGAGCTGCTTGGGGCCTTAACTGGCTGCTCTGTAAGCTGAGCAGCAGTGGGGGAGCAGAGGTGGAAGGCGAGGCCAAGAGAATGGCCTGAGGAAATAAACAAAGAGCAGATCCCCTAGGCTACTTACCATATCCAGCCACCGCTGGGCACTGGTCATAGATGTACTTGGAGCAGATCTCACGCACCACACTGGCATCCACCTCCTGCAGGGTGAGGCAGAGGACATACTAGCTAACGGGCACCTGGCCACCTCAGCCAGTCAGCATCATCCAACTAGCCGAGATCTCCCACAGGCAGCATGCAGCTGTCCCCAACCCAAAAGGGGAAAGGCGGAAGGGATCCCTGCTATAGACTTCCATGGGCCGCACCCATCTCCACAGCCATCAGCACCTCTGCCCTGCCCTCCCACTATGCTATCCCTGCAAGTGACAGCTGCCTAGGACACCAGGGATGCCTATAGGAGCAGGCTCTGCTGTGCCAGGCCCCAACGCTGCACCTCCAGGTGTCTGCCAGGTCAAGATTCCAGAACCTCTCCCAGGGGCCCATGTTACCGCAATCCGGCTTTCCCATTCAGCCAGGGGGATGCGGCGGCCATAGGTCAGGAGGCTGCGACCAATGTCCTCACACACAGGAGTAGTGCCTTTAAGGGTGGGGGAGGGCTCAGAAGTCCACCCAGCCCAATCCTGGACCCACAGGTACACAAACAACTTCCAGCCTCAGGTTGACAAGGACCTCCCTGACCTCATGCTGACCCACATCACAGCCCTCTCTTCTGTGGTCACCTATTATGGTAGCGATGGGCCATGGACCTGTCCCACACCTGCCTGTATCTCCAAGGGTGGGGTGATGGGGCACGGTGCGGTCTTCAAAGTTTTCCTTTCTAACTTTGGTTAGTTAGGAGTGGTGGCCACCTTGGGGCTGTCGCTGGCAAGATGCACTCTATCCCTCCCCACTGAGCTGCAGGACTCACCATCTAGATGAGATACCAGGGCATTTCTGAGGATGTTTTTGCCCCGGGCCACCTCACTCTCCGTGGCACTGGTACACAGGCGCATCCTAAAGTCGGAGGGGGCGGGGGTGGGTGGGTGGTGTTCACTTTGAGCCAATGTGTCCTCTCTCAGCCTCCCACTGCACTGGTTAAAGCCGCCATGCCACCTAGGAGTACCAGGCTGCCACTTACCACTGCCCTTGCAGGACGAACATCATGTCATCGATTTTCATTCGGTCACAGACAAAGTGTGCACCCAGCAAGCCTGTGTCTGCATAGCAGATGCTGAAGGTCTGGAAACTCTGGCATAGCTTGTTGGCCACGGCACCTGAAGCCAGTGGGCTGGACAGGTGCTGCCAGGGGGATAGGTGGTCAGCACCCACCCTCTTGTCTTCAACCCATACTGTGACCCCCACGCACAGGAGCACACAGCCCCAGCACCCTCTCTTCCCTGAAGGTGAGGTACCATGCTCACTCTGGCACTCACCACGCCACCACCGTAAGTGCAATCATAGTGGCCGATGATGGCATTGGCCACTTGCAAGGCCACATTGTCCGGGCTGGCCCAGCCAGGACCCTCTACTGCAATGGCCACATGAGCAAAAGGTAGAGCATCGTCACGGTGGCGGATCTGAAACAGTATATGACAAAGTTGAGGGACAGCCAGATTGCCGGGGGAACAGAAAAGGTGGGTAGAGGGTGTACGTGTGTGTGACCATGTGTGCCTGTGACGCACAAGCCAGAGAACCCCTTCCCAACTGCTGAGGTATCTCTGGAGTCACCAGGATAACCATGCACATGGGGGTCCTCCCACAGGCCCCCAGCTGAGCACTACCCCTGCCCAACAGGCAGCACACCTCACTGCCAGTGAAGCGGCACGGAGTAAGAGCGGGCATGGTGTCCTCTGCGTATGTCCAAGGGATGTCACCAAGGTGCTTCTGGGCAAGGTCTAATAGTTGCTGGTGCTCCACTCCTGCTGAGACAGACAGTGGCATTAATGACCAGCCAGGGCCCAAAGCACAGGGTGCAGGGGAGTTCACAGACAGGCGGAGGACCCCCATGTCCTATCTTAGTGGGAGAAACCAGGAGTATGTGACATTAGAACAGGGTGAGGAAAGAAGGTCCTCCTCAGACAGACCCTGCCTTGTGGACAGGACAGACACCTCAGGGCCAGATAGCTCCCACGGCCTCAGTCCTAGAAGAGCAGCAGCGCTCAGAACTTCAACACGGGCTGCCATGTGATGTAAGTGTGGATTCTCACTTGAGAAGATGCATTCCACCTATATCAAGGACAAGACTGGTACTCCTGGGTACAAAGCCACCTGGCCTGCCTTTTCCCTCTAGCTCTCCCTCAAGTATTTCCGGCTGCTGGCCCGGCAGGGGGTGGCAAGTGAGGGGGCAGAAAGAGGTGCTATTACAGGGCTGTGATAAGGTCTGGGGTCCCCTGAGAGCTGGGGACATTTGCAAATAATGTTACAAACGTATACCCTAGGACTCCTTGGATCTGGCCTCCTCATCTCCACAAGAGGGCTCTGTGGTGCCACCAGTTATGTTGGCTTTTTTTCCCCCCCAAGACAGAGTCTCGCTCTGTTGCCCAGGCTGGAGCACAGTGACACGATCTCAGCTCACTGCAAGCTCTGCCTCCCGGGTTCACGCTATTCTCCTGCCACAGCCTCCCAAGTAGCTGGGACTATAGGTGCCCAACACCATGCCTGTCTAATTTTTTTGTATTTTTAGTAGAGGCAGGGTTTCACTGTGTTAGCCAGGATGGTCTCGATCTCCTGACCTCGTGATCCGCCCACCTCAGCCTCCCAAAGTGCTGGGATTACAGGCGTGAGCCACTGCACCCGGCCTGTGTTGGCCTATTTTTTGTTTTTGTTTTTGTTTTTTGTTTTTTTGAGACGGAGTCTCGCTCTGTAGCCCAGACTGGAGTGCAGTGGCACAATCTCGGCTCCATGCAAGCTCCACCTCCCAGGTTCATGCCATTCTCCTGCCTCAGCCTCCCAAGTAGCTAGGACTACAGGCACCCGCTACCACGCCCGGCTAATTTTTTTGTATTTTTAGTAGAGATGGGGTTTCACTGTGTTAGCCAGGATGGTCTCAATCTCTTGACCTCGTGATCCGCCTGCCTTGGCCTCCCAAAAAGTGCTGGGATTACAGGCGTGAGCCAACGCACCCTGCCCAGCGTTGGCCTTTTATTCCTTCCGTGAGCTCAAGCCCTGCTAGTCGGACAGACATGTCAGACTGCTCTTACCCCTAAGTTCCTCAGCTCCAAAGCCCCGGTTATGTTCATCCTATTGGTCTTTTATGCATACTCAGCCGCCAAAGTCAGCTCAGCTGGGAAGCTTTTTTTTTTTTTTTTGAGATGGAGTCTCACTCTGTTGCCCAGGCCAGAGTGCAGTGGCACAATCTCAGCTTACTGCAACCTCCGCCCCCCGGGTTCAAGCGATTCTCCTGCCTCAGCCTTCCGAGTAGCTGGGATTATAGGTGCCTGCCACCACGCCTGGCTAATTTTTGTACTTTTACTAGAGACAGGGTTTTGCCATGTTGGCTAGGCTGGTCTCGAACTCCTGACCTCAAGTGATTAACCTACCTCGGCCTCCCAAAGTGCTAGAATTACAGGCGTGAGCCACCACGCCCAGCCAAGATGGGAAGCATCTTAGCCTCAGTTCCTTACCCATGTCCAGACCCCAACCAGGTTCCATCTATAAAACCACCTGGAGTACATTTACTGCTCCCCCTTGCTCCTGCCATCTCCTGCCCAGTCCCTACCACAGCCCCTCTCTAGCTGGCCTGCCTGCACTGTGACCCCACACAGCAGCAGAGCAAACCTGAGACCATGATACTGCTCTTCCCCTGTGCTCAGTTCCCCATACTACCTAAGTAACACTCACCACCTTTCAGGCTTCTGTTCAAACTACAGGTGCTTTAAAAAGCCCCTCCCCCAACCTACAACTCTGAGGCCCCAGTGAAATCTCCCCGACCCCTCTGTGCCTTCCTTTCAAGGCACTTCTAGGTCTGTTATCAGGCATGCATCAATACACAACTAATGGCTGGCTCTCCCAAGGGCAAGGCCACAAGGAACAAGGCCAGGGGCTTACATCCCCTACCAGCCCATAAACTCAGTATCCTAGGACCAGGTGGGGCTAAGACAGACCTGTACCAGAGGGACAGCATCCTGTTTAACCAGTCCCAGTGGTGGCAGTAGGGTAGACTCCTATCCCACCTCAGACAGCACAGGCGGAAGGTCATTCCCCTCAAGGTTAGGGTGGGGGCAGGGTCCCCTGGGGTGGAACGTCCCCTATGGTGGGAACCAGGACCCTGGCTTTGATAACCAAGGCTAGGACCCCACTTCAGTGAGTCCATCACTCACCTCCAGCTGCTGCCAGCACCATTCGAGGGGCCTTGTAATGAGTGCTGAGGTACTCGGTCAAGTCTGCACGAGACAGCTTCCTACAAGACATATGGCCAGTGTGTCAGCACCTCTACCACACTGGAGTGAGTTGGGGTGTGTGCATGAATGGGACTGAGGAGGCAGACTAGGAGAGGCATGGTTTCTCCGAAGAGTGGGCCCTAGCACACCCCTGACCCCCTTCCCCCATCTCTGCCACCCACGCCTCCAAGGCCCAGAGGGCAACCCTCGTCTGCCCTTGCCTCATGCCTGACCTCAGGACAGGCTCATAGTCTTCTCTGAGAAGGTGTGAGCCAACACTGTAGGACTCTCAAAGGGCAGTATCAAAGCTCCCAGAGTCATCACCAAAGGAGACAAGAGACCACATGGAGGGGACACCCAGACACCCCACCTTTGGACTGTCAGGACACACACCAAAACATACCTTAAAACAAAGCCCAAAATTCAAGTGAAGCCCACAAAGCCATTAAAAAAGACTCACTGGACCACATGGATATAGAAACTGTCTCCAATTGCATGACTCAGGAAAATAACCCCGACAGTTAGCCAACTAAAAATGTGACCTGGAAAGGGTCTGGCCAGACCAGAATGGGGCAAGCATTCCACCACAAGCCCAGCCAACTCTCACCTGACATTCTCACTGGGCCCCTCCACAGTCTGGGCTAGAGGTGTGCCCTGGAATGCTGTGGCATGCAGGTAGTCAAAGACCACATCTCGCATAGATGCGTCATTCTCCTGCATCTCCCGCAGGATCACATCACGTTCCTTCTCGATCTGTGAGTCTTCCAGACTACAGTTCTGCACAATGTCACCCAAGAGCTCCACAACTAGATGCAAGGAGGACATGTTTAGGTGCCAGGTGGACCACTGGAGACCAACGACAGCACAAAATCCCCAGGCCTGGCATCTCCTGCTGCCCACCCCTAGTTGCCCAGCTGCAAAGCCATACGCTAAGGGTAATATGATTCTGTGGTCAGCCAGGGACTCCTGGGTAGCTGTCCTCTGCCCCCCTGCCCTCTGCCCCACCTCTTCCTCCGGGTGTTACCTTTTGGCAGATCCTTGGACAGCGCCTTGATGTAGTAAGCTGTGTGTTCCCGGGTGCTGTAGGCATTAAGATGGGCCCCCATGCTCTCCACCTCCTTCTCCAGGGCACTGCCAGGCCGATTCTTTGTTCCCTGGAATCAGATCTCAACCAGACCAATCAGAAGCCACACAGGAGCCCAAGAACCCTGTCCTCAGAGGCTAAAGATCCAGCAGGACCACTGGTCCACAGGTACCTCCCTCAGCAGAGACTCTGGGGACACAGATCCCAGAATCTGTGTTTACCAAGTACTAAGCAGGCCTTGTGGTGACCAAGGCCATGGCATCATGGGCCAACAGAATAGAGATAACCAGGGACAGGACAGAAGGGCATGGCCAGACCAAGTGTTTCCTAAAGCTCCTGTAACACCTTACCAACGAGCAGTGGGGTCATTACCAGTACACCTCCCCCTTCTTATTGACAGCCATGGTCAGGTAAGCCCACACCTGTGTTCAAGTGATAGAACCCACTCCTCCCATGCCATTCCCATGACCGTATGTGTCTGTTTATACATGCTAGTGGCCACCTCTGTGGGACATAATCCTAGTCCTATGTGTGGAGAACAGTGGTGCTATCTCTTGGTTAATACTGCACACATACCGGTGACATTGCAGTTGGCTGGGTTGCCCATTAGAGCTTCATGGCCCTGCCCACCCCAACCAAGGGATGCCCAGGTATTCCACTACAGCAGAACATTTCATAAGCAAGCATGTATGCCCATGTCTGTGGGTTTGTTACAATGCACGTGCATATCTATGTGTGTTCCACAGGTCTCTTGTATGCACGCACATAACACAGGCCTGGCTTCTCTGGTGAAAAGTGGGGTTCCTGTGGTTCCTTGGCTCTTCTTGGCTCTGAGGGCCTCATGCAGGGGCTCATCAGATACGTGCCTACTCAGGAGACGTTAAGCTCATGTGGTTCCTTTTAGGAAGGCCGGCCAGACATCAGCCCCGCCACTGAGGCCCATAATCAGGCTATTTTTTCTGACCTTCATCCTCAGGAGGGACAACAGGCAGCCCTAAGCCGAAGAGACAGACTTCAAGAGCCTCACCTTGAAAGCCAGATGCTCCAAAAAGTAGCCTGCCCCATTGTTCTTCTCAGTCTCAAAACGGCTGCCAACATCAATCCACACTCCCACCTGGACAAGAAGCCACCAACAAAGGTTACAAACAAACCACTCCCCAGCCCCCTACTCACACCCCACCTGAGTGACTCAGTACAAGCCCCAGGCAGGGACTCATGAATCCTGGAGTCAGGGAGAACCGCCCCAGCAGGACCCCTGTGTATGGAGATACAGTCATGCCTGGCAAACAGAGGGCCAGCCGAATGACTAGTCACACTGCATCATTGCTCTCCTGATTGGCTATCAAGGACCCCCAGGGACACTTCTAACTGTGCACATTTACCTGGTCTCACCAGCATACAAAATCCTTAAATTCACTCTCACTTTTTGGTTAATTATTTGTTTTTGTCTAGGCATACAACACATCATTTGCAAACAACTACTTATTTTTTCCTTTCTAAAAATTACACACTGCCTTTGTTCTGGCAATGATTTGATCCTTTCATCATTAAGGAAGGGACTATTGGTTTAGACTGTATATTTTATCACACTAAATATTGTTTCTATAACACCATTTTGTTGTTGTTGTTTTTTTTTTTTTTTTTTTTTTTTTTGAGAGGGAGTCTCACGCTTTCGCCCAGGCTGGAGTGCAGTGGCCGGATCACAGCTCACTGCAAGCTCTGTCTCCCGGGTTTGTGCCATTCTCCTGCCTCAGCCTCCCTATAGCTGGGACTACAGGTGCCCGCCACCTCACCCGGCTATTTTTTTGTATTTTTTAGTAGAGACGGGGTTTCACTGTATTAGCCAGGATGGTCTCGATCTCCTGACCTCGTGATCCGCCCGTCTCGGCCTCCCAAAGTGCTGGGATTACAGGCTTGAGCCACCGCGCCCGGCCTTGTTGTTGTTTTTAATCAGATCTGGACACCAAACACTGCCCAGTGTTGCCCTAGCACCCGATAAGATAATATTAATTTTCTTGACAGCCTCCTGGTTACTGTGAAACATGCACCACAGGCCAGGCGTGGTGGCTTATACCTGTAATCCCAGCACTTTGGGAGGCCGAGGCGGGTGGATCTCGAGGTCAGGAGTTCGAGACCAGCCTGGCCAACATGGTGAAACCCTGTCTCTACTACAAATACGAAAATTAGTTGAGCATGGTGGCACATGCCTGTAGTCCCAGCTACTTGGGAGGCTGACGCAGAAGAATCGCTTGAGCCCGGGAGGCAGAGGTTGTAGTGAGTCCAGACTGTGCCACTGCACTCCAGCCTGGGTGAGACAGAAACTCTATCTCAAAAAAAAAAAAAAAAAAAAAAGAAGAAAAAGAAACAGAAACGTGTACCACTCACCCCACCTGGTCACATGGTCTAGTCTTTTAATTTAGTATTTGTTCACAGCTGATTTAAGTTTTTCACATCTACTTTCCTAAGATACTTTTCTTTTTTGAGACGGAGTCTCACTCTGTCACCCAGGCTGGAGTGCAATGGCGTGATCTCGGCTCACTCCCGGGTTCACGCCATTCTCCTGCCTCAGCCTCCCGAGTAGCTGGGACTATAGGCGCCTGCCACCACACCCGGCTAATTTTTTGTATTTTTAGTAGAGATGGGGTTTCACCATGTTAGCCAGGATGCTCTCGATCTCCTGACCTTGTGACCCACCCGCCTCAGCCTCCCAAAGTGCTGGGATTACAGGCGTGAGCCACCGCGCCCAGCCACTTTTTTTGTTTGTTTTGACATGGAGTCTCACTCGGTCACGAGGCTGGAGTGCAGTGGCCTGATGTCCGCTCACTCAACCTCTGCTTCCTAGGTTCAAGCGATTCTCTTGCTTCAGCCTTACGAGTAGCTGGGACTATAGGTGCGTGCCACCACGCCCAGCTAATTTTTGTATTTTTAGTAGAGGTGGGGTTTCACCACGTTGGCCAGGATGGTCTTAATCTCTTGACCTCATGATCCTCCTGCCTCGGTCTCCCAAAGTGCTAGAACTACAGGCATGAGCCACTGCGCCAAGACTTTTTTTTAATTGTATAAATTTATGGGGTACAAGCGCAATTTTTAAAAGTTTCTATCCACACCCAAAACTCCAATTTTTTTTTTTTTTTTTAAAGACAGAGGGCCTTGCTCTGTCACCCAGGCCAGAGTAATCATGGCTCACTGCAACCTGGTATTCCTGGGCTCAATTGATCCTCCTGCTTTGGCCTCTCAAAGCCCTGGAATTACCTGTGTTAGCCACTGTGCCCCGCACACAAGTGCGATGTCGTTACATGCACAGAATGCACAAATAGTCAAGGGAGTTCAAGACCAGCCTGACCAACGTGGAGAAACCTCATCTCTACTAAAAATACAAAAAATTAGCCGGGTGCGGTGGCACATGCCTGTAATCCCAGTTACTCAGGAGGTTGAGGCAGGAGAATCACTTGAACCCGGGAGATGGAGGTTGCAGTGAGCCGAGACTGCACCATTGCACACCAGCCTGTGTAACAAGAGCGAAACTCTGCCTCAAAAAAAAAAAAAAAAAAAAAAAAGCACAAGTAGTCAAATCAGGGCTTTTACATTATCCATCACCAGAATAACACACCTTGTACCCATTAAGTAATTTCTTCTTTTTTTTTTTTTGAGATGGACTCTCGCTCTGTCACTCAGGCTGCAGCACAGTGGCACGATCTTGGCTCACTGCAATCTCTGCCTCCCGGGTTCAAGCGATTCTCCTGCCTCAGCCTCCCCAGTAGCTGGGATTACAGGCATGTGCTGCCATGCATGGCTAATTTTTGTATTTTTAGTAGAGATGGGGCTTCACTATGTTTGCCAGGCTGGTCTTGAACTCCTCATCTCAGGTGATCCGCCTGCCTTGGCCTCTCAAAGTGCTGAGATTAGAGGCGTGAACCTCCAGGCCCCAATCCATTAAGTAGTTTCTCATTATCCACCCTTTCATCTTTCCAAGTCTTCACTGTCCACCATTCCACTTTCTACATCTGTATGTACATATTTCTTAGCTCCCACTGATAAGTGAGAACGTAATTTGCTTTCCTAAGAGATGTCAACGCATATATCATAAGTCACACAATCTTAGATGAACATGTATTTCACATCTAACATCTTGGAATGCAAGAGGCATTTTACAATCTACAGTACCCTTTTATCAAAATTGGCAAGACTCTTAAGATTCTCTGCACTGGAACACAGACGGCTCCTTACAATCTAGGACATTTTGAAGTTCATGTAATATAGCATTCTTTACTACAACAGGTGCCATATAACAAGGAAGTTGCAGGCCACCTTTTCCTATGCTTAGTAATAATTTAAATCGCAGGACATTGTTTCTGGAAAACTAAAAGGATGTGTCAATAAAAACATATGGCCCTGGAGCTGGGGGATGGGGACTGAAGGGAGGAGGAGATAATTATTTCTTGGGAATCTTCTCACCTATTCATATATCTATTTGTGAGTCAAGATTTCTATCCTTGAGTCAATTTTGAGAATTTGTATTTTTTTGAAAATCACTGTTGTATTGTACTGTTAAAATTAATTTCTTCCTAAAATGCATTTGTGGTCTAGCCTGGAGATTATGAGCTTGGGCATAGTGAGGGTGACAGACCTGAACGCCTGCAAGTCACCTAAGGTGTCTGAATCCCATTTTCCGCATTGTAAGAGAAGACGTGATCACTTCTCTTACATGGGCTCCTTAACAAAAGGCTGGAAAAGAATTTGGCCGCCTACTTGACGGGCATTATATGCTAAACAATGTTGGCTTATAGTGAAGATTGTCCCGTGAAGCCAAGGCGTGGCTAGGGTCGGGAATGGGGCCATTCTCGGGGTGAGTGATCCTGAGTCCGAACCCAAACCATAAACGGGAAGACCCGAGCCCAAGGTCACACCCCAACCTGAGAAAAGATGGCAGGCCTAATCTGGAGGCCCTCTCCCCAGTGGCGTCCCCAGCTCACCGTGCAAGTGGGCTGAGAGGACTGCTCGGAGGCCACACGCAGGCCGTTGTCCAGCAGGCTAACCTGCGTCTCCGGCACGAACTGGAGCGCCTGAGCGAAGGTTGCCGTACTCCGCAAGGCTGGCGTCCGCAGCAGGGTCGGCTGTGGAAGGGAACAGCTGCGAGTGAGGACTCGGTTGGGGAATCGCTCACCACCTCCCAGGTGCTCAGGAGGATCCCCGTCCCCGTCCCCGTCCCCGCCCCCGCCCCTAGGCCAGCGGCGAGGTACCTTTCCCCGCCCTCCTCCATGACCTTCCCACGGCCCTGACCCCGCGTCCTCCCCACCTTGACCTGCCACTGCTAACAGCCCACACCCGTCCGCTTCCCGAAGCCCTGTCCCCTGAAGCCCCGCGCTCTCGCCACCACCTCACCGAGCGGCGGGCGCGCAATAGCACTTGTGCCCCGGAGGTAGCGGCCCGGCAGACCACGGACGCCGCCATCTTCCAGCTCTAGTCGGCTCTAAGTTGTGCCGCGCAAGCGTAGAGTAGGAGCGTTGGCGGTCGTGGCGCAGGCGCAGTATCGTAAAGTTGGCGCTCGGCCGCCTCCTGGCGGGATCGGGGACCGTCAGTTGTGCTGGCCTGGCTTTGGCTGGCTGGCTGGCTGGCTCTATCCGTGCTGCCGCCTGTGCCTGCGCACACAGTCCGCCTGCCGTCCATCAGCCCGAGCAGGTTTGCCCGCCGTGCGGTCCATCTCCCCATTCCACGCGTGGAAGTCAGAGTGCACGATGTTTCTCACCAGCCGGGCTGCGTACTCCGAGTAGAGGTCTGGCGGGTGGGGCATTGCAGCCGCAGCGTGTCCGCAGGTTCGAGTCCAGGGCTGAAGTACCAGAGTGGAAACTTACCTGGGACCACAAGGCGGTGCTGAAAGTCAGTTTTTTTTCTCTTTATTTATTTATTTTTTATTTTCTGAGACGGTCTCGCTCTGTCGCCCAGGCTGGAGTGCAGTGGCGCGATCTCGGCCCACTGCAGCCTCCGCCTCCCGGGTTCTAGCAATTCTGCCTCAGCCTCCCGAGTAGCTGGGATTACGCCCGGCTAATTGTTGTATCTTTAAGAGACAAGGTTTCTCCATGTTGGTCAGGTTTGCGCCCTGCCAGTTTTCTCTTTAAAAGAATTAAGTAGAGACCGGGCGCGGTGGCTCACGCCTGTAATCCCAACAGTGGGAGGCCGAGGCACGTGGATCACTTGAGGCCAGGAGTTCGAGACCAGCCTGGCCAACATAGTGAAACTTTTCCTTTCCTGTAAGAGGAAAAAGAATTCTAGCTGGGCGCGGTGGGTCAGGCCTGTAATCCCAGCACTTTGGGAGGCCGAGTTGGGCGGATCACCTGTCAGGAGTTTAAGACCAGCCTGACCAACATGGAGAAACCCCATCTCTACTAAAAACACAAAATTAGCTGGGCGTGGTGGCGCATGCTTATAATCCTAGCTACTCGGGAGGCTGAGGCAGGAGAATCACTTGAATCCGGGAGGGGGAGCTTGCAATGAGCCAAGATCACACCACTGCACTCCAGCATGGTGACAGAGTGAGACTGTCTCAAAAAAAACAAAAAATTTAACTGGGTGTGGTGGTGGTATACCTGTAGTCCTAGCTATTTACTATTTAGCAGGCTAAGGTGGGAGAATCACTTGAGGAGTCTGAAGTTTAAAGTGGCCTATCATCTTACCACAGTACTCTAGCCTGGGCAACAGAGTAAGACCCTGTCTTTAGAGGAAAAAAGGGCCCCGTGTGGTGGCTCACACCTGTAATCCCAGCACTTTGGGAAGCCGAGGCGGTTAGATCGTCTGAAGGCAGGAGTTCGAGACCAGCATGGCTAAATGGCAAAACCCCGTCTCTAGTAAAAATAGAAAAATTAGCTGGGCATGGTGGTGGGCAGCTGTAATCCTAGCTACTCAGGATGCCGAGGCAGGGAAATTGCTTGAATCTGGGAGATGGAGGTTGCGGTGAGCTGAGATCGCATTATTGCACTCCAGCCTGGGCAACAAGAATGAAACTCCGTTTCAAAAAAAATTTTTAAATGCCGGCCGTGGTGGCTGACGCCTGTAATCCCAGCACTTTTGGAGGCCAAGACGGGCAGATCACCTGAGGTCAGGAGTTTGAGACCAGCCTGACCAACATGGTGCAATCCCGTCTCTACTAAAAATACAAAATTAGCTGGGCGTGATGATGCATGCCTGTAATCCTATCTACTCAGGAGACTGAGGCAGGAGAATTGCTTGACCTGGGAGGTTGAGGTTGTGGTGAGCCAGGATCATGCCATTGCGCTCCAGCCTGGGCAACAAGAGCAAAACTCTGTCTCAAAGAAAATAAAAATGTCGGCCGTTTTGGCTCACGCCTGCAATGCTAGCACTTTGGGAGGCCGAGGTGAGTGGAGCAGTTGAGGTCAGGAGTTCAAGATTAGCCTGACCAAATGGTGAAACCTCATCTCTACTAAAAGTACAAAAATTAGCTGGATGTGGTGGTACATGTCTGTACTCCCAGATACTCGGGAGGCTGACGCTTCAAGAATTGCTTGAACCTGGGAGGTGGAGGTTGCAGTGAGTGAGCTGAGATCGCACCACTGCATTCCAGCCTGGGGGAAAAAGGGAAAGTTCATTGGGAAAAAAAAAAAAAAAAAAAAAAAAAAACCATAAAAACTACTCTTATACTTAAAATAAAACTATCTTTATAAAAATCATGCCAGGCACCATGATGACCACAGGCTCGCACACTACACCCAGCTAATTTTTTAAATTTTTTGTAGAGACAGGGGTCTCACTATGTTGTCCAGGATGATCTTGAACTCCTGGGCTCAAGTGATCCTCCTGTCTCAGCCTCCCAAAGTTCTGGGATTACAGTCGTGAGCCACTGTACCAGGCTGACTTCATTTCTTATAAAGGGTTGCAACCTGCAGTCTGGGAAGTGGGCCTCTGGTCAAAACCAGAGACAGACCTCTCAAAAGAGGAGGGATTTGGGCAGGAGCTGTATGTCAAATGGCTTGGCTAAACATACATGTTCAGCTGGACGCGGTGTCTCACACCTGTAATCCCAACACTTTAGGAGGCCGAGGTGGGTGGATCACAATGTCAGAAGATTGAGACCATCCTGGCTAACACGGTGAAAACCCATCTCTACTAAAAATACAAAAAATCATCCAGGCATGGTGGCATGTGCCTATAATCCCAGATACTTGGGAAGCTGAGGCAGGAGAATCACTTGAACCCGGGAGGCGGAGGTTGCAGTAAGCCGAGATCGCACCACTGCACTCCAGCCTGGGCTACAGAGGGAGACTCCGTCTCAAACACCACCACCACCACCACCACCACCACCACCAAAAGAAATACAATTAGCCCCATATGTCAAAATATGAAGCAAGGGTACAAAAGCACTCAGTGCACAGGTTCCATAAACCAACTAAAGCCAGTCCCTGGTCAGTGGTCTCTTATCAGGAAAAAATCATTAAAATCAGTCTCTTGTCCAATCAAAGCTATAGTTATGGCTTGTGGAACAGGGAGTGGGGTCAGTGTCTGTGATGGATGAACTGCAATTGTTTCCGTATTGCTTATCTCAAGGCCAGTGCTTGTTTAGCTGCTGGAAAAAAAGAAATACCTTGCAGCATTTAGAACATAGTTTATTCTTTGGTGAATGGCTTAACTCTTGCCTGGCATGGCCTTCGGTCTTGTTTATACTTTGGTATCTTATTGCTACAAAGAGTTCATTCTTTCAGTCTTACGATGTCTATTATTTTTCTTTCTTTTTTGAGACAGCGTCTCATTGTGTCACCCAGGCTGGAGTGCAGTGGCATGATCTCTGCTCACTCCAACCTCCACCTCCCAAGTTCAAGCAATTCTCCTGCCTCGGCCTCCCAAGTAGCTGGAACTGCAGGCACATGCCAATATGGCTAATTTTTGACGGAGTCTCGCTCTGTCACCCAGGCTGAAGTGCAGTGGCACAATCTTGCTTCCTGGGTTCAAGCAATTCTCCTGCCTCAGCCTCCCAAGTAGCTGGGATGCCACACGCCGCCATGCCCCGGCTCAAGTGATCCTTTTTTTTTTGAGACGGAGTCTCGCTCTGTCACCCAGGCTGGAGTGCAGTGGCGCAATCTCGGCTCACTACAAGCTCCGCCTCCCGGGTTCACGCCATTCTCCTGCCTCAGCCTCCGAGTAGCTGGGACTACAGGCGCGCACCACCACGCCCGGCTAATTTTTTGTATTTTTAGCAGAGATGGGGTTTCACCGTGTTAGCCAGGATTGTCTGGATCTCCTGACCTCGTGATCCGCCTGCCTCGGCCTCCCAAAGTGCTGGGATTACAGACGTGAGCCACAGCGCCCAACTCAAGTGATCCTTTTACCTCAGGCTCCTGAGTAGCTGGGACCACAGGTGCTCACTATCATACCCAGCTAACTTGTATATTTTTTGTAGAGACAGGATTTCACTTCCTTCCTTCCTTCCTTACTTCCTTCCTCCCTTCTTCCCTCCCTCCCTCCCTTCTTCCCTTCTTCCCTTCCTCCCTTCCTTCTCTCTCTTTTTTTTTTTTGGAGAGGCTCTCTGTTACTCAGGCTGGAACGCAGAGGTGTGATCATGGCTCACTGCAGCCTCAACCTCCCAGCTCAAGCCATCCTCCCACTCCAACCTCCTGAGTAGCTGGAACTATAGGCATGCACCATCACACCCAGCTAATTTAAAAATAAATTTTTTTAGAGATGGGGTGTCACTATATTTCCTAGTCTGGTCTTTAATTCCTGCGCTCAGGTGATCCTCCCACCTCAGCCTCCCATATGAAATATTTCTAAACCCAGTCACCTAGCCTCCCTCCCTATACTCACTGCTACCCTGGGCTAAGAAGGGAAGGCCATTGAAGTAGGAGACAACCAGGAAGTGTGATGCTGGTTGGGAATGACGTGTTTCAAGGGGTTGGTCAAAACAGGAAATATTACTAAAATGTTAAGTGCAAGCAGTGATCATTGCAATAATTTTGCCACAGTGTTTGGTGACTCATTGCTTTTCTGGAATTTACTTGGTATATGGAGTGAGGTAAGGTCAAAATAGCCTCTTTCCCCCTAAACGGCAAACTAAATTTTGTAACACCATTTCTTGACCAGGCCCTGTTTTCCAATCCATCTCTAATGTTCCCTCTATCATCCCATAGATTCTCAAACCTGTACCAGGTCCCTGCAGGCTGTGTTCTGTTGGGAGGGCTCTGGTACTCACCTTACCCTTCTTACTCAATATTTATTTGATACATTCACCTATTTATTCCTCTAGATTTTTTTTTTTTTTTTTTTTTTTTTTTTTGAGACGGAGTCTTGCTCTGTCGCCCAGGCTGGAGTGCAGTGGCCGGATCTCAGCTCACTGCAAGCTCCGCCTCCCGGGTTTACGCCATTCTCCTGCCTCAGCCTCCCGAGTAGCTGGGACTACAGGCGCCCGCCATCTCACCCGGCTAGTTTTTTTTTTGTATTTTTTAGTAGAGACGGGGTTTCACCGTGTTAGCCAGGATGGTCTCGATCTCCTGACCTCGTGATCCGCCCGTCTCGGCCTCCCAAAGTGCTGGGATTACAGGCTTGAGCCACCGCGCCCGGCCTTATTTTTATTTTTTAAATTTACATTTACTTTTTAAAAATAGAGACAGGATTTTGCCACGTTTCCCAGCTTGGTCTCGAACTCCTGGGCTCCAGTGATTCCCCTGCCTCAGTCTCACAGAGTGCTGGGATTACATGAGCCACTGCACACAGCCTTTTTTTTTTTTTCTTTTTTTCTTTTTTTTTTTTTGAGATGGAGTTTTGCTCTTGTTGCCCAGGTTGGAGTGCAGTGGCATGATCTCGGCTCACTGCAACCTCCACCTCCCGGTTCAAGCGATTCTCATGCCTCAGTCTCCCGAGTAACTGAGATTACAG